CCCGTCGCAACCCCTCTCCGTTGCCTCCCAGTCGCATCCCCTCTTCGTCGCCTCCACGCCGCGTCCCCTCCCCGTCCCCTTCCCCTACCCGTCGGGTCCCCTCCCCGCCGCCCAGGACAGTCCAGGACCTCACAGAACTGCCCAGAACTGCCTAGAACCGCCCAGGACCGTCCAAAACCGTCCATAACCGCCCAGGACCGTCCAGGACCGCCCAGAACCGCCCAGAACCGTCAATAACCGCCCCGAACCGTTCCCCACCGCCAGAACCAGCATCAGCTTAGGCTGCCCCCAGCACCAGCAGCGGCTTAGGCTGCCGCCAGAACCAGCAGCAGCATAGGCTGCCCCCAGTAGAACCAGCAGCAGCATAGGCTGCCCCCAGCAGAACCACCAGCAGCATAGACTCCCCCCCCCCCCCTGCAGAACCAGCAGCAGCATAGGCTGCCCCCAGCAGAATCAGCAGCAGCATTGGCTGCCTCCAGCAGAACCAGCAGCAGCATAGGCTGCCCCCAGCAGACCAAGCAGCAGCATGGGCTGTAGCCAGCAAACGCTCCTAGCCGCTCCCCACCGCGCTCGGCCATCTCTAGCGCCTACCATGGCGTGTGCTAGAGTTCTGCAGCAGCAGCAGGGTCAGCCGCAACGACAGCAGCTACAGCACTCCCGGCAGTGGGGACCTGAGGGTTCTAGGAGTACCAGCCGCAGCAGTGGCTCAGCTAGTAGTGGGCGCGACGTCGGTCCCTGCAGGTACCGGATCCTGACTGGCCCGGGTGCTGGAACCACCTACTGGAGTCCTGACCACTCTGCGTCCCGCTGCTACCGTCGCCTCGACGACCTCCACCGTGACCGTTTTGGTCCTCAGGCTATTACACCGCACTGGCCCTCGCGTCTTCGCCCGTGCACTGCTGCACCAGTTGAGTCTCACCAACCTGGTCTAGGACCTTTCCCGGCTGCACGAGTAGAGACCTGTGTTTCCAGTCTTGGTGCGTGTGTTGTTTCCAGTCCGGGCGCCTCTGAGCGACATTGTGTAGGAGCCGCATCTACCACTAGTCTAGCACTAGCCTTTGTCGCTGGCTCGGGTGCGACCTCACAGACTGCACAGCTTTCCTTCACCCTAGACTCTGGAGCGTCCAGCTGTTTCTTTCACGACTGTACTAACCTCACACCACTTTGCACTCCAGCCACTGTCGCCTTGGCTGACCCCGGCGTGGGACCTGTAGTTGCCCACAGCACCACCACTCTCCTGTGTCCAGCGGCTCCCTCTAGGTTTCTCACATGTTACTACACCCCCTCGTTCTCCAGGAACCTGGTGGGTGTCAGTCACCTCCACGACCTAGGTGTAGTCACTACTTTCCCACTGGAC